TCCATTATTCTATACTTCATGTTTCACATTTTTATTACGACCCTTTTAACATTCGACTGTTTACCTTGTATTTTCCTTTCATTTTTACCTGTTTATCACAATTAGCAAAACTCATATAGAAACTAATGGAACACTCTATATAATCTCCGTATTTTAACTTCATTAATTATATTATTATTAATTAATAACTGATACCTATGTGATATCCCGTATAACCTGAATATTTAAACTTAATTAATTCTATTATTATTAATTAATAATAGATACTTTTGGGTATCTGTACAATCTGAATATTTAAACTTAATTAATTTTGTTAGTACTAAATAATAATTAATATTTAGGAGATAATGGGTTTTAATCTGAATATTTTAATTCCATTAATTTTATTATTATTAAATAATAATAAATACCTCAACTCGATATTTAGGCAGGCAGGAATAACCATATATGATTTTTCATGCCTCTGAAAATCAGAAATATATATCAGAATTTGATCTCGTTAAATTCATACGTCTTTCTTTAAACTGACATTATTATCCAGAATTTATCATTATTAGGGAAAATGTGAAGACATAAACAATATGTATGTATGATATTTTTAGAATTCAAGAGAGAATTTATGGGGAGTTCTTATGAGGAAGGAAGTACGTGAGAGTATCTGTCGGTCGCATAATCATTGATCAGTTATTAGCCTAATCTTCTAATTATATTTTACTCTTAGTCCCTTTAGCTCGTTATAAATATATATATGTATATATTTAAAAGTAAAATATAAGTGGAAGGGTAATTTAAGACTAAGGGTAAAATATAATTAGAAAATTAGGCTAATAACTATATTAGTAACTATACTAATAGCTATATTATTAGGCTAATAAATATATATATATATTTCAGAATAAAATGACATCTCTTATTCTTATATACCAATTAATCATATCCCTACATATACACTGTTTACAAATTTTTGAAGCAATATGGCGTCTAAATATAAAGAAAATAAATCAAGTGTCTTTGATAATAATGGTAAATACTAATTTATAACTATTTTCTCGTATTCAGTTGAAGTAACGTCATGATGGAATTAATTAAATTATATCTTTCTTCCTTGAAGGACTGTAAGTTACTTATAGCTAAGAATCTTATAAATTCACGAGTCGAGTTGAAATATATTTACAATCAAAAATTAATTTTCAAAAATATTAAAAATGTATGTTCATATATATTTGTTAAAGATATTCCTATTCTCTGCTAAAGTTTCTTTCGTAATCGCTTGTAAATACACTTACCTCTCATTCGCCAAGTCTCATTAGACTACCTGCCGGAGCTAGAGTGCTGCAGGCACTTATGACTCACAGACGGTGGATGCACACTAGTGTTTCCTTTTAAAGGATATAATGCGTTCCATTTGAACGAAACGATAAAGACTTTGAAATAAATGGCACAAGAGTGGAACCAGATAAATCTGTCACTAGAATCAAAGATTAATAAGTTTCACAGGACCTAGTAGCCTACTTGTCTGGAACCTAAGCTATCTATAGTGGATCACAGAAACATTCGTATCTCTCCAATTCGCTGACAGAGATAATAATCAGTGGGGAGCATGAAATATAAAATATAGCAATATTATAGTAACGATAAAATATAATAATAATGCAAAGTAATGTAAAATAATAATAATAATAGATGTGAAGAATAAAATATAAAATATAATAATAATGTAAAGTAATGGAAAATAATATATTATTAATTATATTATATATAGTTAATGATATATCTTTTATTCTGTTTTACAAGTAGGTTTCCCATTTATATAAAGTATATATATTAATAATATGTTAGTATACGTATATATTATTAATATTATGTTATTATTATATAATGTATTATATTTTTTAATTATCTTTTTACGATCAAGTTTCCTATTTATATAAGTTATATATATATTAATGATGGATGAATATATTATATTCACTATTTATAGTGGATTGCAGAAATATTTGGATCTCTTCAATTTGCTGATAGAAATAATAGATAGTAAATTTGAAGAATAAAATATATACTATATAGTAGTAATATAAAATAATACAAAGTAATGCCTTATTAATTATACTATATATATAGTTAACAATAATACATTATTAATAATATATTTTTTATCCTGTTTTACAAGCAAGATTTCTATTTGTGTAAACTATATATATTATTATATATTATTACTACTTATGTATTATAATTTGCGAATAATTCAAAGATAGAAAAGTACAGACTATAATGATTCTGTACCTAAAAGATGGACCCTCGTGTACTACTACCCTAATTTATTACAATAATCTACCAATCTGTCTCCCCACATAATTTGTTTAGATCAAACTAAAATGATAATTAAAATAAATTCTCACTATCATCCGTTCTACAAACATTTATCATATACAAAATTCAAGCTGACACACTCCAATATACCTGAATTTTTGTCTTCCTCTACTAATCAAATCACCGAAGAAAACCCACCCCTCGGAGCTGCCAATTGTAGCAGAACGAATACGTAGCTCACTATATCTGAGTCACGCAAGAAGCAGCCTCGTTACTCTCAAAAGAGACCGCGTATTTTCAAGCCCGTTGAAATATTTCACTTCGTTACACGGCATCACGAGGTATGTTCCAGAAACCACCTCGATTCGTAAGTGTCAGTTTCTCTCCCTCGCTTCCGAGAAATCTTCGTTCCTGTTTACCAGCGACATTGGTAAATACTTCGATATCACACGGGAAATGGTTGTTATTTCGAAACCAACTCGACCGACGATGCTTCTTTATTCCTCATGCTTGGTATCCTCCTCGTGCCGAAAAAACGATGATTTAAGATGAGGAAAGCTCTGGAAGAAAGACACGGATACTGTTGCGTACCGAACACTGCAACTCGCTCGGGGGTTGTAAGGCCCCGTTGTTGCTGGGATGCGGCCCACTCTACTTTGATCGAGGTAGGCCTGGTTATTGTTGAACTGCAGAGAGTTCTATAGTAGACAGTCTCCTGGGCTGAGTTGTTGGTGGGCTCGATGATGATGGTGTGGTCGTGATGGAGTTTTTAGGAAGATTCATTCTGTGAATGCCTTGTCGGTGGTTTTACAAAGTTCGTCTGTCTGCTGATTGATTGGTATAATATTAGGGGTGTGTGCTAGCTCCAGCGTCTTTCGATGGTGGTGGTTGTTTAAACAATCTGGGTCCTTATGCCTGTCGTCTTAACCCACTTGCATCCAAGCGCGGAATATTCCGCGAGCCACGACTGTCGTCTATCACCGAACGCGGAATATTCCGCGAACCACGACTGTAGCCTATCACCGAGCGCGGAATAATCCGCGAGCTGACTTTTTCCATTATAAGTTGCTGAATATTCTTCATATGCCACAGATCACGTTTGATCCCTTTTGTGGGCATCTCATCTACATCGGTTCATTATATTCTTAACAAGTTTTACCTTTATCGTGAAAATCCTTTTAACTGCCATATGAGTAGGTGCAGATACGTGCGCGATGATATGGGCCAGTCGTCAGTTGAACGTCGTTGATGCCTGAACACGGCACCTTAAATAGAGCCATGATGCAAATGGGTTAAGGATGATATATTGTTGCCTCTTACGGTTTTCCCAAGTGGTGGCTTAGGTGACAGTGAGTGTATAGAAGTCAAGGGATGCTGACAATAAGGACGTAAAACAGTCCTCCACTTGACCTGGGACATTGCGGTCCTAGGACCGCAACAGATACGATGAATGACGAGATATCGAGTGGAGGACCAGAGTCCTTTTCGACGCTGTTCAATTAGGGTTGCAGGCGAGTTGCGGTCATAAAATCTTTTCCGATTAAGAACCAAAAGCGAAGGAAATCGTTCCCATTGTATCTAGTAACTTCAGACTGGCTCTAGTTACTTCCCGTTCATTGCAATTCGCCAACTTCCGATTCCCTGTTTAACGAACCGGCCCGAGTTTCGATAATGTGTCTGTTTCTTGTGTAAACTGTGTCACGGACCGGGCGGGGGTTGCGGGGATTGAGGGTTGAAAGAAACTCCGGGGACAATTAAAAATTCGTCGGTCTATCCTTCTTTGCCAAGCTTTGTCCCTAGTTCCACGAGTAAATCACTTGTCCACCCGGTGATTCTCAACTTGGCTCGAGTGTTCCGGGCCGTTTGCTATTCATTGAGGGGCGCAGCTTGGGATAAATTTAATCCTCGAGTGGAGAGAATTCTCGGGAAATTTTCGAAGAAATTTGTTTCTTTTTTAAACGGGTGAAATCAATTTTTCCTTTCGATCTTTGAAATTCGATCGCTGAAAGATTGGCGATTGAAATTACGTGGGCTAACTCGAATATCTCAAATTCGAGGCTTGTGTGGACTGTACGTGATGAAAGATTGTGTACCTGCTCTGTACCATGAAATAAACAATTCGCGAATAATTTTTCCTAATTTTTTTATTTTTCAGTGAATAAAGGGGAAGTATAATTAGAATTTTTTCATTAACTTTCGCTCGGTGTGTATATTAATATTTGATTATTTTGTCAATATTGAGTGGAATATTGCTGCATGCTTATTAACGGTACAAAGGCAAACATATTTCAGTAAATTAACTGTGCCGAATTAATAATTGAATATCGTGTATTATTTTTATTATTATTAATTGTAAACAAATTATTCCGTTTATGTATCTTTTTCATGCAATGGTATGAATATACGTTTATGAATAAATTACTTTTATGCCTCGAAAATAACGGTTTCCAGGAAATGCTGATTTATTAGTTCAAGTGAATGATGCAAAATTTAATGTTATGTACGTTTTATGCGTGTATTGCTACGTAGTCTTGTGAAAGGAGAAATCGATTGCTTTAATCAGGAATAATAAGGCAGACAAAGACAAGGTGAATTTATAACGTTATACAGCATTGCATAAACTGTCGTTCTAATTGGACAAGCACGAGGGAACCTTGCATCTAATTTTCTCGTGATTTTTCTTGTTTCAGGTGGTAAGAGCTGCGAGCCCAGTTCTTTTGCGATTCATCGTGCTCGGTGCATTCTTCATATATTGCACGGTAAGTGGCCATCTACTAGGAATTTCATAGTAAATTGATTATGCATGGTAATTGTAGTTTAGAAATAACATGTTTGTTCCTTGTCACAAGGAACCAAAAATTATCACCTTGGTATAATATCAGTGTAAATGTCGCGTATATTCAATTGTACAATTTTTTAAAATTCCACTCTAGTTAATTTTTTTCGTAAGATATTTTCTAGGGAAAAATCAATTTCGTCAAGAAAATATTAGCTAAAGAATTTTACTAATATCATTTAGAGGGAAGTTGTATAGTTACAATTTTTTTAAATTCTACTGTAGTGACTTTTTATTGTAAAATATTATCTAAAGAAAAGTCCCCATTATAATATTTCGTCAAGAAGATATTAGTTGAAGTTACTTATATTTTGTCCCCAAATATCGTTTAGAGGGAAGTTGTTATAGTTACAATTTACAAAAATTCCACTCTAGTGACTTTTTGTCATAAAACATTATCTAGAGAAAAGTCCCCATGATAACATTTCGCCAAGAAAACATCAACCAAAGAATTCTCTAATATTGTGTCCCTAAATATCATTTAAAGGGAAGTTATTATCACTTCATTGCAAAATATCTAGGGAAAAATTTCTGACACGTTGTTTCAAAATACCGTTTAAGGGGAAATCACTATAGTAGCAATTCACTGTAAAATATCATCCAAAGCAAAGTTTCTTCCATGAAATTTTGTCTGAAAATACCGTCTAAAGGAAGCAATTACAGTAACATTTTGTTCCAAAGTATAATCTAGAGGAAAATCTGGGGAAAATCAAATATAACGATATTTCGTCGCGAGAAAAATTGAGTATAGCGAGGAAAATGTCTAAAAGACCTGACTTAAGCGAAATAGGGTCTTAATTAACGCTCGATATCTCGGCTAACGAGAAAGAACGGCAATAATCGGAAACAGTGGTATAACGGGTGTTAATAAAGTCGGCTCGCACCTCGAGGCGAATAAATTACGAGTGGAGGGGGTTGTATAATTTGAGAGCCGCTTAAATAGCAATCTCCCGTTTAAGTTCTCGTGTTCCAAGTCATTCGAGAAACAATTGATAAGTTCGTTCGGAAGCCTTTATCCGGCAATCGAGCACACTTGCCTCTCGTTCGACCGTGAAACGGACGACCTGTCGGCACGAAAATGGCGGGATAAAGACGATACTAGCGCCGCTGAGCGAAGGTAACCTAATCGCAGCGTGACGCGGCACGCGATTTCGCGTTCTTCTATGAAAAGTATTCCCTCGATATTGGCAATTATCCCCACGCGATGCACCGTTAAACGGAAAGAAATTTTCTTGCCGGAGAAAAGAATGCTAGGACCGTAAGAATGAGCTTTCGTTCGTTCAGTTTCTTGAAACTTCGAATTGTGCTAATTCGTTAGATATAGCAAACGATCGTGCGCAACTTTGCGATTTTCTTACCTCTGAAAAGCAACCAAACTTGGAAAATTATTTGGCTATTATAGACCCAGTGTATTACTTCCTTTGCTTTGTATTTTAAGCTGCACATTGTATAGAGATTTATTACAATATTTTAGTACTATATATTTATCAATATCCCTTGTTATATAGAGGTTTTATATAGGAATATTTTGTTACGTTGCGATATATTCTCCATCACTGTTTTTATTTTAAGATAATATTAAAAATGAAAATTTGTATGTTATCGAGAAATTAAAAATGAAAAACTGTTTGTGTTATTCAGAAAAAAATTGCAGAAGTATAATATATTTACAACATGTCAAAGTCGTCTAGGGACATTTTGGAATATTTCAAGAGATACTAATGAATCTAGAAAAAAATTACCATCTATGAAATTAATGGCTTCCTGTGACAAATAGGTTAATGTCATAATAGCATAATAGAATATTATCAATTGAATTATTTTCTTTTTTCTTTTTTGTTTTCTTTTTTTTTGCTTGGAAACGTAAGTTTGATTTTCATGTATATTCGACGCGATCACCTACAAAAAGAAAAAACTACTGGTCACATCAATTTATGTCTCTCTCGAAATCACTTAACTTTTATCTGAAACATCTGTCGATATCAATAACAGTTTCGGGGATATTCGCGGGAATCGATTTAAATGAAACAGTTTGCATAATATTCCCTGTCACCGCAGACACATGTTAGGGACATTTCGCGTGTCTCATATATTCCAAATTACTCTGCGGCGTACTAATAACTTTAAAATAAAATTGGCACATGACAATTCTCGTAAAATACCGACTTAAAAGTCAAACAAATGACGTCGGTCATGAAATATCAATATTCGTAAAATATTCGTTTGAAAATTAAACAAAATAGTAATACTTGTAAAATACCGGTTCAGAAATTAGAAAAATACCTGATATTTCGTCGCGAGAAAAATTGAGTATAGCGAGGAAAATGTCTAAAAGACCTGACTTAAGCGAAATAGGGTCTTAATTAACGCTCGATATCTCGGCTAACGAGAAAGAACGGCAATAATCGGAAACAGTGGTATAACGGGTGTTAATAAAGTCGGCTCGCACCTCGAGGCGAATAAATTACGAGTGGAGGGGGTTGTATAATTTGAGAGCCGCTTAAATAGCAATCTCCCGTTTAAGTTCTCGTGTTCCAAGTCATTCGAGAAACAATTGATAAGTTCGTTCGGAAGCCTTTATCCGGCAATCGAGCACACTTGCCTCTCGTTCGACCGTGAAACGGACGACCTGTCGGCACGAAAATGGCGGGATAAAGACGATACTAGCGCCGCTGAGCGAAGGTAACCTAATCGCAGCGTGACGCGGCACGCGATTTCGCGTTCTTCTATGAAAAGTATTCCCTCGATATTGGCAATTATCCCCACGCGATGCACCGTTAAACGGAAAGAAATTTTCTTGCCGGAGAAAAGAATGCTAGGACCGTAAGAATGAGCTTTCGTTCGTTCAGTTTCTTGAAACTTCGAATTGTGCTAATTCGTTAGATATAGCAAACGATCGTGCGCAACTTTGCGATTTTCTTACCTCTGAAAAGCAACCAAACTTGGAAAATTATTTGGCTATTATAGACCCAGTGTATTACTTCCTTTGCTTTGTATTTTAAGCTGCACATTGTATAGAGATTTATTACAATATTTTAGTACTATATATTTATCAATATCCCTTGTTATATAGAGGTTTTATATAGGAATATTTTGTTACGTTGCGATATATTCTCCATCACTGTTTTTATTTTAAGATAATATTAAAAATGAAAATTTGTATGTTATCGAGAAATTAAAAATGAAAAACTGTTTGTGTTATTCAGAAAAAAATTGCAGAAGTATAATATATTTACAACATGTCAAAGTCGTCTAGGGACATTTTGGAATATTTCAAGAGATACTAATGAATCTAGAAAAAAATTACCATCTATGAAATTAATGGCTTCCTGTGACAAATAGGTTAATGTCATAATAGCATAATAGAATATTATCAATTGAATTATTTTCTTTTTTCTTTTTTGTTTTCTTTTTTTTTTGCTTGGAAACGTAAGTTTGATTTTCATGTATATTCGACGCGATCACCTACAAAAAGAAAAAACTACTGGTCACATCAATTTATGTCTCTCTCGAAATCACTTAACTTTTATCTGAAACATCTGTCGATATCAATAACAGTTTCGGGGATATTCGCGGGAATCGATTTAAATGAAACAGTTTGCATAATATTCCCTGTCACCGCAGACACATGTTAGGGACATTTCGCGTGTCTCATATATTCCAAATTACTCTGCGGCGTACTAATAACTTTAAAATAAAATTGGCACATGACAATTCTCGTAAAATACCGACTTAAAAGTCAAACAAATGACGTCGGTCATGAAATATCAATATTCGTAAAATATTCGTTTGAAAATTAAACAAAATAGTAATACTTGTAAAATACCGGTTCAGAAATTAGAAAAATACCGATCACAGTGTCTGTAAAATACCAATTCATATTTCAACAATGATAATAATTATAATAAAAAAAACAAAACAAAAATTGGAAATACACGATTTTATTTACGACACTCTTTTTCCTTTATTTATTTATTTATTAAATTATTTATCAAATTTATTCGCGAGCCAATAGGATCTCGTCACCTTTACACTATTTGTTAGGATGGAAACCAATGAAAATTCAATTCACAACTTCCCTATGAATTTGTCCATGAATCCGAGATTCCCCGCGGGACCGTGAATTATGAGAACGGGAACCAATTTCTTTGTTTCAGACTATAGTAATGTACCCCCGCCCGAACATCATAACCTGCACCGTGCGAGTTTGGCTGCGGGAGATTGGATTTTCTCTCACCTATGGCGCTCTTATGCTGAAGACTTGGCGGTGAGTAGGAATAACGTTTCCGGAAATGTTGCTTAACTCCGCGCCACGCCAAGATTCAACGAACAATGTTTGCACTGCAAATGGGAATCTCGTTGAAACGGGAACACAAGTTTCGACGATGCACACGAGTACCAACTCGCGAGGAAAATTACAATCTCGCGTGTTTTAATTTCCTCGCATGATCGACAAACGTGTGACAAATGTTCCCACGAGCATAAAACACGCTTCACGAATTGGAGCAACTTTACATTTCAAAACAGGGAAGTTTATCACGACTTTTAAGATTTTCCGGTAGCTCAAAAATTTTCTTCGCGAGTTTGCGGTTTTTCCATGAGTTGCGATGAATTTTCATCTACCTGAAAACAAAACGAATTTCTCATGACTTAAAACCATTTTCCAAATCCAAACTAAGTCATTTCCCATGACTCAGGTTAATTTCCTGCGGCTTGTCAATCATTCTGACACTTTCTCAGTTTTCAATACCCTCTTAAAGCTTAAAACTTTCCTCAACACTGACGAATTTTCCACGACTTAAAACAATTTCCCAAGTCCAAATTAAGTCATTTCCCATGACTAGAAATAATTTTTCACGGCTTGTATGTCGTTAAGATATTTAACGACAATATTTCCAACAATATTTTTCTTTTAACACTGACGAATTTTCCATGACTCAAAACAATTTCCCAAGTCCAAATTAAGTCATTTCCCATGACTAAAAATAATTTTTCACGACTTGTATGTCGTTAAGATATTTCTCCAGTTTTCGATATCCGGTTAAAGCCAACAAAATGTTCCTTAACACTGGCGAATTTTCCACGACTCGCTTATCTTTTCCGTGACTCAAAGACACTTTCCTCCGGTCCAGCAGAATTTTTCAATTTCCAATCTCCTTTTCGCGTCGCTAGAAAATCCCCCCTCACTGAAAACCCATCCACGCAGCGTGGAAGCAATTTTCCAGGTCTTGAGTGTCTCTTCTACCAACCGAGAGAACCCTTCTTGCTTCATCCCCTGTTGGAAAGAATCGAAGGAATCATTTCCCACGGTTGAAAGTGCACTGTCCTGTCTCTCTTCTCCTTCGTCTCGCTTCGACTTCTCGGGTCCGATAAATTTCCACCGATCAGCCCTCTGACCAAGAGGCCAAAGGGGGATGGAACGCAAAAAAGGAGGTCGGTAGTTTTCAGCGGTGGCTGGTCGACCAGCGTGTAACGTATCGTTGCTCTCGTCTTTTTTTCGAGATCCTTCCCACGAGATCGTTGGTTTCGAGCAGTTGCAGGATTTCCGGCGCTACGGAGATTCCGGGACAAAGATTGCCCCGACTTTCATCCCTCGTCCCCTTCCGCCAACCCCGTCTTCGCTTAGAAGGAAGAAAAAAGTTCGCCCTGCTGGTTCGGTTCGCCCCTAGAATCCGTAAGCCGGTTCGACCAAGACGCTCCTCGTTTCGACGAACAAAGGTCGGCCAAGTGAGCACGACTCTCTTTTCGTTGTATTCTTTACTAACCAACCAAGTGATAAACCTCTATTCCGCCGTGAAACATCGATCTATTGCGTGACGAGGGTGCAGGAGAACGATCACTGTGAGTGCGGCACGTCTCGATCTCCTTGTCGTGCCATGAAAGCGTTCTCTGGGAAGTGCTGAATTTTGCTTCACAGCCGAGGAACGTTCTAGTGGATAACGGAAAATTTTCCCGAGTTGTGGACACTTTTTCCGGGGTGACGGAGTTCATGGAAATTGAGGAAAATAACGTTAAGTTGTGGAAAATGGTCAACGAGGCGCGGATAATTTTGCTTAGTCATAGATTATTTTGAAGGGTAGAATATTTTGGTCAGATGGTAGGATAACGAAATTCTTTTCGATTGTGGAAATTCATTTAAGTTATGGAAAAGCTTCTCACTTTGTGACTAACTTCTTCAAAACCACAAAAAATTACAGTGGTTGTTGGAAGTTCTTGAATCATGGAAGAATATTCTTAGGTGTATATAACATTCTATTAAATTTGGGAAAATTCAACTGAGTCAAAGTGAGTTTTTCCGAGTTGTGGAAAATTTCTATTTTTATTCTGTGTATCATTTCCTTCCATCGTAATAATCGTGTTTGATTTAAGACGAAATCACCATAAGTAATATGGAATCGTTCTAGATCATAGACAGTTTGCTCGAGTTATTGAAAATTATGCACTTTCACACAAAATCGTGGAAAATTCTCATCGTACTTAGAGTATAGAAAAATCTCCTTAGTCAAAGAAAATTCTATTAACTCATTGAAAAGTCATTTAGTCGACATAAGCTTTTCTGAATTGAAATCGTCTTTTCTTTAATCACGATAAATTTTCCTTGGTCATGGAAAACTCTCTCGAATAATTCTTATCGATCATGCAAAATCTCTTGAATTATAATAAACTTATCAAAATCGATTTTAATTATTCTGAGTTACGGAAAATTCTCTTCGAATCGTCATGAATCACAAAACGAATTTCCACGTATTTAAAAACCGTCCTCAATTCGAAAAAATTCTGGAAAATTCTCTCGAATAATCCTTATCGATCATGTAAAATCTCTTGAATTGTAATATACTTACCAAAATCTTTTTTAATTATTCTGAGTTATGGAAAATTCTCTTCGAATCATCATAAGTCACAAAAAATTTCCCAAATGGTGGAAAACTGTTCCCAATTCGAAAAAAATTCTTCTTGGTCGCATAAAATACTCTGAAACCATAATACGAACTCTGTTCACCAAGATATATTCGTAACAAATGTACTTAGCACTTGTACTTAGTACTTTAGTACTTTTATACTTTGAACAAGTTCCTGTATCAAATTCGTTGCGTAAAAAATTGAACATTTCGTTTAAAAAATTATAGTTCTCCTCTACATCTCCTCCATCTCTGAAAATACTATTTAAACCATATTATGTACCTTCCTAAACTCACTTCGAAAGTAAGTAATATTTTCCATTATTATTTAAAGTAGCAAATGTAAATAGTTAAACAGAGTTCGTGATGCACACTGTGCATTTACCTAAGCTGTAGAAAATTTCCGAAACAGTCATAAATCCTGAAAAAATTGCCATTGATCTACCAAAATTCTCCTTGATCGTGCAAGTTTCTGCCAAAAGTTGATCTCATAAAAAACGTAGCCAATTCAAATACAACGGTTGAAAATTCGCCTGAATCATGCAAAATTTTCCCGATTCGTGCGCAACTTTCGCAAGCTACGTAAAACCCTTTCATAACCCCCGGTTCCCTTCCAAACAGCTCCTAACTTACATCTCGGGCCAAACTGTCCCTTTACCTCGCAAGTTCGTACAATATCCCGCCAACCGTGTACTTTTCTCCGTTGTCCGTTCCGAGCTAACACAATTAACCGGGCCCGGAACTTCCTGTTAAACTTGCTACACGGGGTCCACTGTCAAACTTTCCCTTTCTTCGCCCCTCTCCTGCCCCCACCCACGCACTCCGTGCCCCCATCGTCCGCCATTACGCCGGCTCCCTGTTTCCGGCATTCTAATGTTATTTAGCGAACTTGCCGCTTAATCGACGTGCAACTTCGTCGGTAGTTGCAAGTTATAATTAACGGGAGTCGACTTCCGGCTCATGCACAGCCCAGTCTCTCGCGGTGGATCGACACACATAATTAGAAATTCCGTCTGGCAACTCAAAATTCCGTCTCTGATTACGCCTCGTTTCCCTTTGTTCCATGCAACCCGTTGTTTTGCGAAATTTCCAACAGCCGGGAATTAATTAAACCTTCGAATCCTAATCCCAATAATGATACTTCGCCACAGAGTTCCCCGAGGGACCCTAAGGGACGAGCAGGGGCCAGAGGGTGCATTTATAATTTTAAATCGGGCACGAGGGGAACGGGGTTGAAATTTCGAAGCCTCTGCGATCTAGAATCGAACCCCTGGCTGGTGATCCAGGTGATCCAATTTCGATGGAAACTTCGGTCACGATGGGAAAAGTTGGTAGTCTGATCTGCTTGGGTCCGGAGAATTTTCCAAGCCTGTAACTCATCCTCGAGGAGTGGGTACCGAGTTTGTTGTATTTTCTCCCATCGGTAACGAAGGGTGGAGAACTTGCTGAGATATTAATTTAACCGGCGACACAGTAATGAAACAGAATAATTCGAGCCCTCTGCCTGCAAGCGAGATTAATCCCCAAGTCGTCGTCTCCCTCTGCCGGCAGTTTGACGAAGTTGAAAATGATGAAAGTTCGCCGAGTGTCGTCGCGAATATTATTTTCCTCCAGTTTATAATCAAAGCTTCATTAATCTTCGTCGATACCTACTTATGCATATCTAACCCTTCCTATGGCCTGTGCTGATGCTTCCAAACTCCTGACCGAGTAATTACATTAATTAAACCGCCTCGCCAAAGGGCATCCCACCATTTTGTTCGTTTCGTGAAATAGCGTAATTAATCGAACTCGTCGTCGCTTTCCATACGATTTTCCCAATTTTTCTTGCTGTGGTATAGTCTCGAAATCTATTCGGCAATTCAATTTCTTGTGAAACGAGGAATTCGTAGTTGATCTTGAAATTGCGTGTGAAAATTTCTGCGGATTTTGGTGATCATTTGAAATAGATTTGGAATTCTTATATTGAACTGGTTGATATTAATTATGATCGACGTATGAAGTGATTCTTGGGATCGATATTTATAAAGTTGATATCATTTGCTGGAGAAACTGCGAACATTATGACTAAAAAGTTGTAACTATAATGGACGTAATGGGGTCATACTAAGCTGTAACTAAAATCGGATGAAATATATTATGCTGAGGAAAGATAAATTCTCCTCTCCCCAAAGTATCAAATTCTACTGGAGATGTTCCTTTCTTTTTTCCACCATTTCACGTTATCGGTATAGAACGCAAGTGTTCAATTTTTCTTCCACAGGAATTGAAAATAATTATTTAATTATTTTTATACATCCTGTCGTTGATCAGTGAATTATTTTTTAATATCAGCTCCCGGTTTGAAAAGCGTCGGAAAATTTACTGC